GAGGAAGGTCGCGAAGGACCCGTTGCGGAAGGCCATGGTGAAGGGCCTACGGGGGTAGGATTCCCGTGAGTTTGGATGGAGGGGTTTGGTTGGGATTGTTTGGGTGAGGTGGGAGGAAGAGGAAGAGAGAGAGAGGATGAGAAGGTGAGATTGAAATGAGATATCGGAGGTTAGAGCGGGCTTGGCGCGACCGGGTTGGTTCCAGTTCCAGTTCCAGTTCAGCCTAACGGGACTTTCTAATCTGGTTATCTATTTAGTTACTGCTTATTTGTTATCGCTATCCCATTACCAATCCGCCATTATAATAGTACTAGAATTGTACCAATAATGCATGCAACTCTATTATGTACGCCCTCAATGCCGCAGGCTGCTCATAATTAATTCAAAAATAAAATCCAAACATTGCAACGTAGATGGTATCTCCCGGTATCCCGCAATGCAAGCAATAGAACTCACTCCCCACAAACGCCTTTTTATTTCACCGCTGATATCGCGGTAATGCCTCGTCGCCGCGCGCCGCGCCGCCCACCAGCTGATGGTCGTCCTGGTCGTCGTGGAACACCGGCGCCGTCGGCGCATCCGTTGACCTGCCAGGCGCCTCTGTGACTTCCATATCCTCGGGCGCACTCACTTCCGTCATCAACCGCTGTCGCTCAAGCTCCTGCTTATCCTCTCCTGGCGGCCCGGCCTCGTTCGCGCCCATCGCGCTGCTGCCCGGCACGACCGTCTGCACCGACTCCGCAGAGATCACCGCCCGCGGGGTCCCGTTCTCCGTCGGTGACGGCAGGTGGTGGTAGTCGTTGAGATGGTCGTCCTCCGGCAGCACTGGCGCCGTCGGAATCGCCATCTCAGATGGCCCAACCCCGGCATCGTCCGGCGGGCGACTGGGCAGTAGCATCTGCTCAGCCCGCCGTAGCCGGCTCTTTTCATCGCTCGGCTCGTCGGCCGGCGGCGTCGACACCATCTCCCCAAGCGGGTGATATGCCTGTGGCTCGCCCGTGTACTCCTGGCCTGCGTATTCAGGCCAGTGGGATGGCTCCCGCGGAAAGCCGTAGTCTTCTTGCGCCACATATTCCCCTTCGGCATTGGGAGTCGGGGATTGGTCGGTCGTCCAAGTCTCGCCGTCCGGACCAGCTGGCGGCTGGTTGGGATCCACTGGCGCGGCCGTGGAAGGCGTGCGCTCCTTAGCCTTCACGCCGCGCTGCGAGTCACGTGTCCCAATAACCACTTCGAACATCACGGCCACCACGCCCTTTTCACGTCGAATCTGATCGGTGTCCAGAATGTTGCCTGCCCAATTCGCCGTGATCACGCTGTTGTTGACATCTGCCGGGTTCAACACTTGCCCGCTGGAGGAGAAGTTGCCGCCCGAAGAGACCATGTTGAACCGAGGGAGAAACCGGTCCGGCGACGTGAGCTTGCCCCGTAAGTCGACCACCACTTCCACATAGTACCGGAAGTTGATCATGCTCCCCGGCGTGCGCGTGATGGTCGGAAACGTATCCTCGGGCACCCGGATCGAGGTCTTCACCAGCGCGGTGAGGTTCGTGGGGTCCACCACCAGCGGTGCAAACGTCTGTGCTAGATCCTTGCGGAACACCCCGGTGGTACGGCTGCTGCCAAGCGTCAGGCCACCCAAGCCGGTCCGCGAGCGCGGATAGTAGTCTTCGTAGACGGGCTTCTTGCCGTCCGTGGGTTTCCCCATTGGGATCGCAGGTTGGAGGTCAATCCGCCCTTGGCGATACAGTGTCACAATGATCCCATGCGCGCTGCGCACCTGCTTGCAGTGGTTGATGGTGACATTGATCGGCAAGGTATCCCCTGGCAACACGCCCGCGCGCAGCACTTCCGCCTTAGCCATGATTGTTCGATCCGTCGTGGAGGGGGTGATGCTCCGGGCCTCGCTGTTCCGCATCCCGTTGCTGGTTGAGGAGCTCGGGTCGCTGGGGACCTGGAAGCTCAAACTGCTATTACTCCGCCGACTCGACGAGCTGACGTTGCTGGGCGCCGGACTCAGAGGGGGGCGGTTGTCGAGACTGTTGCCGCGGTGGGCCGTCGGATCGATGGAGAGCGTATCAGGCGCGTCAGATCCGGCTGACTTGGCCTTTGCTTTCGACTTGGACCGGCGGGAGATGGGCTCGAGGGTGACGACGCGCGGCTTGGGCGGGGGGAAGGGTGCGATATCAATGTTTTCTAGGACGTTGACGCGTCTCCGGCACGTCGAGGTCGGGTTGATCGTGGTCGGTTTTGTTAGGGTGGATGTAAGCATATATGATATCGTGCCTCGTTCGAACTAGATGCGGATTGCGATCAGTATGGCCCACAATAATGTTAATACAGAGGGGAGGAATCGCCACGCACATTGATGCTACTGGGTAGCGCATACGGGGGAAAGCACATCTCAAAGCGAAACTTGTAGATCCCTTCTTTGAGCCGACCTTCCCCGCAAAGTACGACCTCGTCCTCGAAAAGTGTAGACAGGCCATTTCCCAGGTATTCGGCACCGCGACGCCCGCGCCCCGGCCCCAGAAAGCCCAAATCCGGGGCCTGTTCACCCGGGGGCACGGTATTCTTAAAGACCTTGACAAACCCATGGAGACAGACCACCAGATGTGTAATGCGAACGGGCCGTACCACCGTAAGGACCACGGTCCCACTGATCACATCCCCGGGGAAGTATGAGCGCCAAGGATCGTCCGGTTCGATGTAAAAGTCGGTGATGCTGCGATTTCGTTGACCGAGTTGGGAGCGAAATTTGGAGAGGAGGGAGCTGCGATTCCGACCGAGCGGCGAGGGGGGTTGTGAGGGGAGAGGGTTGACGGACATGACACACGACCCAATCCATGCACGAGGAGGGAGGGAACGGAGAAAGGAGGAATGGCGACCGGAAGCAAGGAAATCGGAATCAGGCGGACAACGAGCTGTTGACGGCGGAATTCAGGGGAGGGGCGGATGGAAGAAGGAGGGGGGAGGAGGACGAAGGAGGGGGAGGATGAGGCTGGTAGGACCGGGCTCAGCAGCGTCACTACGGCCAGTCAAGTGATGAGACGGCGAGGAAGAGCAGGTGGTCGAGGCGGAAGCAAGGGGGGGCGAGTCGATGAGGAGGAAGAGCACACCGTCCAGATCTCGAGAGTCAAGGGGAGACGAAAACGCGATCGAGACAGCTGGGAAATTCTCCGTCCAGACACCATCGATCAATCTACCGATAAACCGGCCCGATGTGGCCGTCGGGCGCGAAGGCAGCAGCGACAGCGACAGGAAGCAGCAGGGTCAGTCTCTCGAGAGACCGGTCCAGGACCAGTTCCAACCCCAGCCTCAGCACAGACAGCACTAGATGGTCAAGCGCGCGCGCGCGTTCCTAGTGGGATGAATGGGTCCCCTTGTTTCGCTGGTGGTTGCTGAGGATGCGGGGAGTTTGGTCGGGGAAGATCGTGTCTCAAATCTCGGAGTTTGGGGGGAGAGGAAAAGGAAGACGGAAGAGAAAAGAAAGGGAGAGACGAAGGAAAGATGACAAGTAGGGAGAGGTATCAAGAGTAATGGTGACAGGCCCGCATCATTTCTCGGCTGGAATTTCCCACGATTACGGCCAAAGGGTTGACAGATTAGCCCCTATAACCGGGATATGCTGGAGGAGGGGGTGGAAGAGAGGAGGATATGAAGGGAAGGAAAAGGAATGGATAGTCCCGGGATTTAGTGTGGAGGGAATCAGTCACGGGGGGGTGGGTGGGTGGGTAGAGGATGACAAAAGAGCAGTCGGAATGAACAGGACGCGCAGGGAGTCAAGAATAGTAAAGAAAAAAAGGAAAAAGAAAGGAATGGATCCGGTTGAAGAAAGGGGAGAAGGCAGGGTCAGCAAGCAGTAGGAGTAGAGGCAGAGGAATCGATGGAGGAGAAGAAGATGATGATGGAGGGATGGAGATAAGCAGCCGGCTTGTGGTCGAGGTCAAGCTTCTCTTGGGCCGTTCGTGGCTCGGCGGTTTCCACTCGGAGCAAATCGACTTTCCACCTAATTATATCTAAGTTGATACTGGGCTTTGGTTTCCTGCCGGGTGGAAACTATGGTTCTGGTGAGAATGATGATTAGTATTATTCTTCTCCCATTTTCCTGTCCTTGACTAGTCACATTGACCACCCCTCGTGGCTCATTAACTCGAATCAAACTGAACTAGTGAGTTAGTCCCTCTCGACTGGACCAAGTTAACTTGACGACTAGTTAGTTGGCTAACCACTAGTTAACTAGTGATGAGAAGCCGCTGACAAACTTCCCGACAGATGGATTTGATGGATTCATGACGGCCCATCTTAATAACAACAACTACTTACCACCACCACCACCACCGTAATTCATAAGCATCAACCACATCCTATTCATCCATTAGTGATCAGGACTCCGGCTCCCTCTCCATCTCTAGCTCACGCAATCCTTCCCCCTCCACGTATTCTTCCCCATAACATTCCCGTTGCACTGCCCGCAACACTTCCCGATCCCCTCCGGTCACCTTATCCACATACCCTTCCAAGATGTAGATGTTATCCGTCCACTGATGCGCCAGACGCCGATACTCTTCCGTCTCCTCTTTAATCTGCGGTAAGCTTTTCCCCTCCGAACTCGTCGCCAACGCCATCCACTCCCCCTGCAGTTGATGTGTCTCCCGCTCGAGCACTGCCTTCTGCTCCATCAATCTCCGGCGCTCCTCCTCACCACCCCCATCCCCATGCTCCCCTTCTTCTGCCTCCTCCTGCATCCTCGCCTGCATCCGCGCAGACAATCTAGCCTCCGCACCTTCCCAATTCTCTCGGACCCGATCTACCTCCCTCCGTAACCTCCGAACACGCTCCTCCCGCTCTTTCTTCTCCTCTCCCCCAAAACACCAATACCAATTTCCACTGCCGATCTTCTCAACCCGGATCCGTCCCTCATCCGTCAATTCCTGTATGTATTCCTTCACTTGCATCCCATTGATCGAGGCCACCGATGGGATCATTTTCTCGAGATCCTTCAGGGTGTGGCACGTCCCCGTGGCCCGCAGATGTGAGACGATCAGGGCTTGTTTGGCACTTTTGGAAAGTTTAGGCGGCTAGCTCGACACATAGTTATTTTTTGTTTTTTTCTCCGTGTTAAGTTCTTGTTTCGTAAAACACGACAGACACCCTTAGGCTAACGCGCCCACTAAGGCACATACTAGTGTGTGTCTGTCTGTACCCCCCTTCCTTAGTGGCCTTGATGGGGACTCCAATCACTCGCCCCATTGGTTGCGGTGAAAAGACGGAGGCGTCAACGTACCATGGTGAGGCAGGTAGCCTTTAGCTACCTCTGTGTGTCTTGGGCTTTTGCTTATGTCTGGACCCTGTGGAGAGGGGGGGGAGTGTTTCCTGTTTGAGGTTGCTGACAGGCATAAACGAGATTAGTTAGTGGGGGTTCGGGGATGCCGTGCTGTTGGTAGCATACTCACTGGCTGTAGGATGGAGTTGACTGGAGATGATGGACCGGTGGGTGAGTGAGTAACTGAGTAGTCTTCTACTTTTGGACACCCCAAACAGTACAAGCTTCCCCCGGTCATGTGGCATCACGGGCTCAACGTCAACTATAATGGCCTCGGTATTGTTTTGACGTCCCTGTAGGGCTGCTGAGTATTCATTACTACTGGCAATCACGTTCATTTCCTGCTTTTGCAGGGAAGCATCCCCTGGGATGACCAAGGACGTTCTATTCCTGTCTCTGTTAAATCTTTTGCCCTTACCGGTCAGGAACCCCGCTCTACTCATCCTTGCAAGGCACTTGTGTCGAAGTGCGACATCATCGTCGGGATTCGCTCTCTCCTCTGTCCTTGTAGGGAAGATACGTAGGTCTGCTGACACTGCCCCCGGTCCCTTGTCAAGCAATCTGAATGGCGATCTCTATCTAACGTGTTCTGCGAGACAAAATATAGATAACAGCCCGGAGCTGGATCCTTGCTACTGTCGTGTCATCAACAGAGGGCGCTCCTGTCATCCCGATTTTCTCATCATACGGGGGCGATACACCAAACAAAGCAATCCATTACCGTAAAACCAAAAGAGAGTTGGCTACATATGTCTCCCGAGCAGAAGCAAACTGCCCATCTGCATCAGTGCAACACCCCGAGACCCTTGTCTCCGTATCTAACCAGAAACCCCTCCGTTCGCCCAACCTACCTACACTACCTATCTACCTACCCCCAAACGCACAGATCGCGCAATATTCGCACTATACAACCCCCAGTCAATAGGGCGTCCATCTAGCCGATGCAGATCTTTGCAAAGCACCACGCACGGTTCAGGTAATTGCGCGTATCCCATACAAGCGTGCAGCCCACGGACATAAGCAAAAGCTTGTGTCAGCCGATGTCATCCTGCCCTTGACCACTGTTGAGTTAATTATCGACAAAAAACACATGTCAGCTGAGTGAGATTCATAAGTAACATAGCAAAGATGGCTGGGGGAAGCAAAAAGGGTCTGAGACACTCGATAAGGTTTCTTTGACGGCCACTCTATATCGCGGTGAGCTATAGCGTATGAAACACGGCTATGAGCGGCGGTCAGAGGGGCGAGAGTATTATTCCCTCCCTTTCAGCCGTGAGATGTAAGTTGGCGCTGGGATCTCGTCTAAGCCGGCTTTCTCCGGAGTCTGCTTTGGTCCTGCTGCAGGGGTCTTTGTCTGCGGTGTGCGGGTTAGGATGTACCGAGGAGAGTAATGGGCGATTAAGGTAAGACTTGTGCATAAGATTACGGGCATAAAATGCTTAGCTTGGTTACTGATGTACGGGTAGCCTGCTCCTGGGGTGCGTTGGAAGCCTAGGCAACGTTGGTTGTGCGGTGATTGAGTCAGGCGCTGCACGGCAGGACGCAGAAGGATGCGCTACCAATTGTTGGGCGATTGATCAGCATGATTACAGCCCGCTTTAGCTGGTTGTTTGATCGTCTCATCTGGTCGGACTGCAAACGGGGTGATGCATCAGTTCTAGCAGTGATGGCCTTGACCGTATACTGGTACGGGAATGGCAGCTTGTTGCGGGAAATGACATGGTGACATGTCATCTGACTGGCGGTTTGATCACGCCAGCGCTACTCTCTAATTGCAGTGTAAAACATATCCATGTTACAAGTGAACGGATTTCGTGAATGCTATCAGACTACCTCGTAGGAAAGTTTAATAGGAACAGGCTATTTGATACAACGTGCATTCCGCACAAACCTTGTTCAAACGCTCAAGGAATGCTTGGGTGAAGAAACCTGAGCAGGGCGATTGACCCTGGGGTGCATGAAGATGGACGGGCCAGTCCAATCAAGGTTCAACGGCATTCCAGCAGATGCACTGGCCAAGACCTTGGCGGCGCCGGGTCGACGATGATCGCGGGCTAAGATTTGCGATGTGCAACATGCATAGGGCGCTGGCTCGTGAGGTGGACCAGGGCTGAGCGAGGAGACTGGTCGCATAGGAAGCAAAGACACGATGCTTCTTATTGCTGCCTCGATTGGACAGTTGAAAGTAAGGACATGGCTCGAGCTTAGACAATCCTGCTTTACCCACGAGTTTAACGCATCTTAATCTTGTGGCTTGCTGAAAGACGAGATGCTTGACCCCTTGCAGTTGGGCATTCAGCCAAGCACTTTTGATATCGATCCTCGCGCATCGTATTGTCTTGAACTCGTTTCCGATGCCCCGATGATGAGCGACCAATATAGTAGCATGCGATCCATGTAGGACCAGAATGAATGATGCAACGATGATCTTGCAAGGTAAGCTATGCCACAGGCACAATAGGCGCTGAGTAGCATGTTAAGCCTCACCACCTCTCATCATCTTCTATGTCCAGCTCAGCTGCGGAGGTCATTTTACGACCCAACTTGCGCTTCTTTGGCCGCCTCTTCTTCGCCACCACGCTCTCTAGCTCATCACCCGAGCTCGCCATCGTACTACTCTGACCGGTATTTGCTCTTTTGCGGCCTATATTTCGGCCGAGCTGAGGAACCGATGGTAATTCGTCGGTCGGGATTTCCTCTCCCTCCACGAGCACCATGTCTCCGGTTTCACCCAGAGATTCCTTGGCCATCTCCTCCATCAAAATCCCCATAGCTATTAACGCCGTCTCATCCATGCTCTGGTAATCATCCCGTCCTCCATCGATCGTCGCATGGTCATAGAAGTCCGCCGAATACGCGTGAATGGCCTCAAGTAGTTCGGAGCAGGGGAGGGGGCAGCTGGGCGGGAGGGCCTCATGAGCAAAGTAGAAGTCGTTTTCTTCGTAGCGCTGCGGGGCATGTTGTCGACGAAAAAGAACTTCCTCGGGACGGACAGGACGAGTGCTGGACGATGCCGTATCGCGGTATTTGGAAGGGTAAGGGGCCGAGGGCAGGAAGCCATGATGATTCACCCGACCTGAACACAGTAAGTCTGCTGAAGTGGGAGAAGAGCCATGTGAGGACTAACCCGCAACGGCATCATAGACAGTCGCTTGTCGCTTCTGTCGCCTGGCGCCGAACTCATCTTGTTCCTGGGCTTCGACAACATCCGGAGTGGGAGGCCGGACGAAAGAATTCTGGCTCAATGCAAGGGATTTGCCGTAGGACATAGTCCCGGATTAGCTAAAGCCGCCCGTGCGGAAGCATCAGGAAGCTTGTTCTCAAGAAGAACCGGACGGCTGGATGAGACTCTGCCGGCGGGCAAGTTGATACTTCCGATTGCTTTTGCGACGCCCGGAAGTTTTTCCCTTTCGTTATTGGGCATTCCGGCACAACCTTTCTCCGACAATTACGGTCATGTGAGAGCAAGTCATTCCATCTACTGATTACAACAACATCTCTGCCTTGTCTGGTTATATCTTCACGGAGCTCGGAGAACAGCTCTGTTAGCCTAATGAATGAATGCGTATCTTCTCAATAGGGCTTTAGGGTCCATAAGTCCCTCGACCTTTCATGCCGCACAAACCACACGGCTTGTTCAACAGCTCGAGCCGGCGCCTGGCATTCGCTTCTCAGCACGTAGAGACATATTCTCAGGAGAAAGTCAGGCTGGAAATGAATATCCTCATGAGGATGCAGGATTGGTCTTTGATGATGAAGTATTCGCTCATAAGGCGGGAGTGAATGTGCTCGCCATCGATCACTATGAGGGCCGATTGTATGTTACACCCATCCTGTGCCTGGCTCCAATTAACGGTAGACAGCATGGTTTCTGGGGGTGCAGATCCTTCGATTAATCTCTGGGATCTGGAGACACGGGGCTCGGATCTGAAACATGTGCACCAGCCTGTGGCATCAGTCAACAGAGCCTCGCATGAAGATGCCCACACACGTGCCATTACCTCCGTCTCTATATACCCATTTGATCCCACCCCGTCTACTATTTTGACAACCTCGTACGATGGCACACTCAAGCTTTCGGCTTTAGGGCCGGGGGCGATCACACCTGTGCACACTTTCAACCTAGATTGCACCCCGTACACCCATTCGTTGTCGTCAAATCCAGGGTCTCCTTTACTCATTGCAGTAGGTACCTCAGAGAAGCCGGTCCGATTGCTTGACCTACGTTCAGGCTTGTCGACGCATGGTCTCCCCGGGCATGAATCTTCAGTCCTGTCCGTATCATGGGCTCCTCATCAGCCACACATATTGGCTTCTGCGTCGGCAGATAATAGAGTAATTCTCTTCGATATCCGCCGAGGAGGCCACAATTCAGCCATCGCTGCACTAGACATGGATGATGCTGTCGGACTTGTACGCCCGGGATCCATCCCAGCATCCTACCAGAGCCGCCCAGCATTCTCACCGCACGCTCGAGCCCATAATGGCGCTGTGACCGGCGTGCGGTGGACGTCCAGTGGTAGTCACCTGGTGACCGCTGGCCAGGACTCTCGGATTCGGGTCTGGGATGCCGGGACAGGTGCGAATACGCTTGTGCACTTCGGTCAGCGCGTGCGGAACAGTGTAACTTCGCACCTGGCCGAAAGGGCACCGCTAATTATACCTCGCGGAATGGTCATTCCAGGGCAAGAAACCCTTTTATGGCCGAATTTCAATGAGAGAGACGACCGCGGGGAGATCTTCATGTTTGAACTTCGAGAGGGGGCTTTTGTCAAACTCCTCCGCGTACCGGGACTTATGACCGGTCGTCAGCAGTTCCAGGGACGCTCAAGTGCCCTCAGCGCTGCGAGGATCAACGCCCTTGCTTGGCGCGGCAACGGTTCCTCAGGAGAAGGGATCGAGATGTATTCAGCCCACGGCGACGGGACCATTCGCACATGGGCCTCACGGGAACCCGAGGGTGAGCCGGATGATGAAGCCGCCGAAGCCGAACGAGCAGACCGCAAGCGCAAGCGCGACATTCTCGACGAACTCTACCGAGGATTTATAGGCTAAGCATACGATCAAGAAAATCTACGAAGGCACCAAATATAGCACAATAGTAAAAATCGTTTCATTCATCTATAATACATCATGTTCATGCTAGGCATATCCAGATATGCGTAGCGTTTACTCGTTCCTGATCTGATGCTCGCCAATAGCATCTTCATCCTCCGCGGAGAACCGCTCATAAGCACTGCGGTTCAAATTGGAATGCTTCAAGTTTCTGGACTCTCCCTTGGCACCAGGGTGGTTGGTGCCGATCAAGGTCCTCTTGGACTCGCCCTCAGCCGGGAAACTGTTACCGGTTCCGGTGATGACTTCGCCTGAGGGAGCCATGTCTCTTGTGCTGCGAGGCATGTCGGTGGAGTTGTCGGCGGCAAAAGCGGAGGTCGGGTGAGCGACACCGTAGTTATCAAACTGGGGGTCTTCGGAGCGTTGGTCGGGGCGCGGGACGGAGGGGATGGTGTTCATGATGCCTGCATCATTGGGAATGCGAGTGCCCTCGGGGGCCATGTCCTCGAGACGTCCGCCGCGGTGAGGATCAGAAGACATTTTGAGTGGTAGATGTGGTATTTGGGCTTGGTGATGTTTTCGCGTGGAATGGAGTGTTTTGGATTATTAAACAACTTTGTTCGAGTTTATTCTGGATTGGAAATAGACCGCAAGACCGGCTTGGGTTTATATAGCTGATGAGTTGGGCTGCACTGGCATCTGATGTCACCGTCCAGGCGCGGATGGAGTCTGGGCCATGATGAGGCTATGATATCAGCAGGGTCCCAGCGTGCATCTGAGCACAGGAAACCAGCAAATCGATGATGAAACATGCCAGGATCTATGGAATACTCCAACCCAAATCTAGCCGATGGTTCCATCCACCGCAGTTCTCGAAGCTGGAGACGAAGGCAAATCACGTCAGTCCCCAAGGTACCGCTATACTAAGTACCTTGACATATCATCACTGGCCCTTTCGGCACCGCCACATCATGGTCTGCAGCATGGCAGCCTTCTCTAACAGTACGCCATTCATAGTCGGTCTGTCTTCATTCCCGACTTCAGACCTGCTCTTCGAGCCTTCTTTATTCTGATTAACGTCATCGCCATGGCCATTCCTGACTCAGCATTCGGCATCCTCCCCAGCCAATCAGGAGGCATCCTCAGAAACAGTTCCTTTCTGCTTCACATCAACAACCACCATCTGTGCAATAGTACTCGATAAAGGCCTTTTCTGTGTCTTCCTCCGTGCTCGTAATATGATTGTTTAATCCGGCGATGCATAGTTTCAGCTGTATCGGTCCCAATCTACGTCAGTCAAACAACGAATGCGTCATCCACCACACGTGGCGACCGATAACACCAGACCAGATTCCCATGCAGCGACGTGAGATACCAGATACATACACAGAAGTATTGAGATGACGCTTTAGACACTCAACACTTTGCCCACAGTACCATTCCCGTCAGTCGCAGTCGCGTCCCCAGCACAACTACACTTCCCGCAAGCAGGAGAACGCCGGAGTAGACCTTCATTCCCCAGTAAGATCCGTCATCTTGGGCTAATATTGCGCCTCCAATGGGCCCTGTCACAAGTCCAGCGATTGATGCGAAAAAGAAGTTCAGTCCAGCCCAATATCCAATCTCTCGAGGCGGGGCTACGGGTGCCACCAATGCCACGAGAAGAGTGTAGTAGGCGCCCGACGTGAATCCAAACAGTACATCAAAGACGATGATGGCTGAGTTGCTGGTAGCCGGGATCCAAAGTGCCAACACCAGGATACCGGAGCAGACATTGAGAGAGATATAACTGTTGTATGTGCCGAACTTATCTGCGAACACGCCACAAAAGAAACGTCCAAAAAGACTACAGCGTACATCAATATATTGTTCCTGGTACTATTAAAGAGTGGGGGCAGAGACTCACCTTCCTGCATTCTGTATGGACACGAGGTACTGTGACAGATTGGTCTGCACTCCCACAGCCAATGACGATGTGACAATATAATTACTTGGGCACCACACCCCAAAGCTCAGCAAAATGCCGCTTACAAGAAGCAAGACCATCTTCACATCACAGAAAGGGCGCAAGAGGATCTCTCTGTTTAGCACTTCTGGACGTGGAGGCACGCGCTCCCTCACAGTGAGAGCAGCGATAATGAGAAAGAACAACATCATGAATGCGACAATTCGCATGGCCCAACCGAAGCCGACTTTGGGAATGAGTCGATTGATCATAATCGGCAATATTATACCTGCTATACCGGCGGAAGTAGAGATGATCCCGTACGCCAATCCGCACCGTTTGTTGAACCAGTTGGGCATGACACTCAAGACTGGCTGCGCTATGGCACAGAGACCTATTGGACTACAGATTCCCTGCGCGAGCAAAATCTGATAGTATTTGGTGGATATAGAAGCCATCATGACACCGAAGATATGGAAGAATGAGCCTCCGATGACGACTGCGCGCGGTCCAAAGGTATCACTCAGCCAGCCGACAATAGGGCCCTGTATAAATCTCGCACCATCAGTATGTTGAACACGAAGACCCACGAGCAAGCTATATCTTACTAAAGCAAGCATGAGAAAGACTTCGAGGGAAGAGATCCACGCGATCGTACTTGCAGAATATCCAGGAAACATGACATTCTGATAGTAGTTCTGGAACACGCCGATGCCTATTGTAAATTTTCATCTTGATTATTAGTGAACCCGAATATCCCAGCCTCCTCAACCATCGTCCATACAGCAACTTACTATGAAGCCATCCATAACTGGAAAACATCGCACACCATCCACCCACCACGATTAGCCACGCTGCTGTACCACCATCAGGGGCTGAGTCGTTTGGGTCGTCTTCTTGCGAGTCTTGAGACGTCTGTCTAGACGGTGGGGTGGCAGTCAGACACTCTTTAAACCTGCTGTTTCCAGTTTCTATGACTCGAGCATCACAAGCACCTTGGACTGGGCTCCTCACTACCGAAATGGACATTCTGAACGACCCCTCTTCGTCATAACAAGATGAGGTGTTCGATGATAATAGTTTCTCGCCACGAACAAATTACATATATCATAAGACATCACAGAGCTCTCTAGCACGCCCAGATCAGGATATTCGCTGGCATCAAGATAAGGCTAATTGGATAGAATATTCTCCGACTTGCAACATTCAGCTCACCAAGAACAAATCATTGCACCGTTGGACAGTCGAAGCTTATGCATAACGAAGTTCAATGACCCACCACAGCTGGCATGACGAGCCATGACAGACCTTTCATACGTAAGGCAGCCTATGTCAAACTTTTCAAAAACATCTGTTGCTATATATCCGTATTGACAAAGACTATCATTAATTCTCTAAGATCTGATAGATTGAACAGAAACGGATATACCTGTCCGGGATAAAGTATAAATCTGAACAAACCATATATGGCATATGTGCTGACCTGTGTTCGCACTCAAAATTCAGGATAAGCTTCGACGCATGCATGCACACTGTAGCGTGCCAACTCGGATCTCGTATCCACCAACAAATTGTGCCACGAAATCAATAACCCGAGTATTGAAACATAGAAAATGTGGCTGGCTGAAGAAAATCGAGCCTCACGAGTCATTCAATTATATTCATCAAGCGCTAAGCGGTCAATCATCTAGTACTAACCTACAAAGTCGCTGCTTCGCTATTGAGATATTCTCGACTCATATTTTCAATCATGTCCTCATTCATTTCTCACTTCTTTATTGTATTAGTCTCTTTCCTTTTCGTTATAACTCGTCTTGCTATCAACCACAGCATAGATTATGTTTAAACACACTTTATTTGTGACATATTAACTGGTAGTCTAAAGGACATGCTGAACTAACGCAAGTGCCTCAGACCGGCCCCAATATCACAGTAGAATTCTTGCTGCAGCACACCGCCAGTTGGTATGGGCCATATGGGTGGATCTGCAGCATGCATACACATCATAGTAAGCGATGAAGTTAGTTTATGCAAGGGGGCCTAGCTACCTACTAGGTTATATAGATAATGCATAGAAGCACGAGCTACGTGTACGACTGGAGGTGGAAGAACAACAAGCATGGTTGCATTGATACTGAAAATGGAAAGATAAAGATACATGCAATTTAATTATAGCTGAAAGCGAGTGACACGGATTATGGACGAAGGAATCCGAAAAAAAGATGATTAGGCAAAAGAATGACATGAAATGTATGGGACATTCTCAGGAATAAGAGATCCACGGATAATCTGCTGCTGCATGGCTTTTACAAGACGAGGGCCAGAAGGGCAACCAGACCGGTGACGATGGGGAAGAAACCGTGCGCCGGAGCCACCTGTGCGCCTGCGCCGGTAAACATGATGCTGTTCGTCGAGGGGTTCGGGGTGGAGGACGGTCCCGGCAAGTCGTAGCGGAAAGATGGCTCGAAGGCGGCAGCACCGCTGGGCTTGGGTGTAGGCAGACCAAGGCTGCTAGCGTCCGCTGCTCCACGGAAGGCTTCAGTTGGTGCGGGAACGTAGACGGGGATCATGTGGAAGGTGGAGGCCTCTTGGATGGTGATGGTTGAAGCAACAGTATCCAGGTTGCCGGGTATGGGGTCAGTGGGAGCAGGGCCCATTGCGGCGTTGGAGCTCATAGCCACAGGCTGTTGGGCAGCAGAGGATGCTACGGCGTCAGGGCCGTGCTCTGGTTCCGAGGGTTCAGAGTTGTATAGGGCTGATACACCAGTGGGATCGGCCATGGAAGCTGCGCCATTGTAAACGGGGTTAGACGGGGCGGCAGCTGGGGTGGACTCGGCAGGTGCGTTGTACATGGGAATGGACTCGATGCTGGGCCCGGTAGGCTGAGCCGGGGCATTGAAAAAGGGTGTAGACTGTGCGGCTCCTGCGGCGACTTCAGGTGCATTGTAGGCTGGTGTTGATTGAGCAACAGCATCAGCGGCTCCTGTGAAAGGCTCGTTGAAGACAGGCGCCCCATGTCCTGCGTGATCAGATAGCCCAGTGTTCCGACTCGGACCACCGCTCAACGTGCGGGTAACTGTGTGGACAACTTCATGGATGACTGGTGAGGCACAGCTTGATGAGTCAACCTCCTTAGCCGTATCATCTTCGCTGGAGTGAGCAATGGGATCAACACCTTCATCATGTTGTTCGTGCGAGTCATGCGAGTCGTGGGGTTGAGCGGATTCATGATGAGCGTCCACGTCGGTGTCCTTGACGTTGGCAGAGACAGAGTGGTCATCACTGGAAGCTTTATTTGTGTCCTGACTGAATACGTTGGTCACCGGGAGAATGGCAGAGTTTCCAGTGTCGATTCCAGATTCACCCTGGATGAGGCTGTCATCTGCGCGGTGATGGTGCCGATGAGGCTCATCCACCACGGTGTCTTTGTAGTCAGCATCCACGGAATGGTCATCCTTGCTCGCCTCGTTGACTTGCGACGAGAAAACATTGGTGATAGGGATAGTCGCAGAGTTTCCCGTATCAATTCCTGACTCCCCCTTGATCAAGTCGCGGGGCAGATGGGGATGTCCGTGGAAATGCCCGTGCTCGGGCCGATCAATTCTCGTATCTTTAATGTCTTCATCCACGGAGTGATCATCCTTGTGAGCCTCATTTACCTGTGATGAGAAACCGTTGCTGATTGGCAGGCTAGCGGAGTTGCCAGTATCAATGCCCGATTCTCCCTTGATCAGATCGCGAGGGCGGTGATCGTGAGGGCGGGCATGATGGACAGGCACCCCCTTCACAGCCGTGTTCTTCACGTCAGCGTCGACTGAGTGGTCATCCTTGCTAGCTTCGTTAACCTGAGAACTAAATGCGTTGGTAATTGGAATTGTAGCAGAGTTCCCGGTATCGATCCCCGACTCTCCCTTAATCAAGTCCCGTGGGTGATGGGGGTAAGGATGACCATGGACGGGAACTGGCACCGGCACTGGCCTTGCCTCTGGCTTCGTCTTGACTACAGTATTCTTCGTGTCTGTATCAACAGAGTGGTCGTCCTTACTCGCTTCGTTCACTTGAGAAGTAAATCCATTGGTAAAGGGAAGACTAGCAGAGTTGCCAGTATCGATTCCGGATTCCCCCTTGATCAGGTCCCGGGGGAGATGGGGATGGGGGCGAGTATGGTGGGCTGGCACCGGCACCGGCACCGCCTTGGGCTTCTGCTTGTCCTCGACCAGAGTGTTTTTCAAGTCGGCGTCCACGGAGTGGTCATCCTTGCTGGCCTCATTCACCTGGGATGTGAATCCATTGGTGAACGGAAGACTGGCAGAGTTACCAGTGTCGATTCCTGACTCGCCCTTGATCAAATCACGGGGCCAATGTCCGTGAGGGTGATGCACTGGCACTGGAACCGGCTTCGGCTCCGGCTTGGACTTGACCACAGTGTCTTTAGAGTTAACATCCACAGAGTGATCGTCCTTACTAGCTTCGTTGACCTGAGATCCGAAGCTGTTGGTGATCGGAAGACTGGCAGAGTTACCCGTGTCAATACCGCTTTCACCCTTTATCAAGTCACGGGGCCAGTGAGGATGGGGATGCTTGTGAGAGGGTGTCTTGATAAGAGTGTCCTTATCCTTGACATCTGTGGAGTGGTCGTCCTTAGATACTTCATTGACTTCGTTGGACGCCGCGTTGGTGAAAGGCAGTGAAGCTGAGTTTCCGGTGTCAATGCCGGATTCCCCCTTGATCAAGTCGCGCCCATGATGATGGTGAGGGACGTGCTCGGGCTTGGTAACATCGGTGTCCTTGACATTGACATCTGCAGAGTGGTTGTCATCGTAGGACTTATTGTCCGTAGAGCTGAAGATGTTCGTGATAGGAATAACGGCTTCATTTCCAGTGTCAATCCCAGACTCTCCGGAGATCAGATCCCGTGGAACATGGGGATGAGGGAAGTTGTGGTGATCGGGGTGCGCATGACCCGCGTCGTTGAGCACGCTCTTCTTCTTGTCTACGTCCACAGAATGGTCATCCTTGCTAGCCTCGTTGACCTGGGAGCTGACCACATTGGTGAATGGCAAAGACGCACTATTCCCCGTATCGATGCCAGACTCTCCATTGATCAGAGTGGGCTCTTCCCGTTCACCTCGGGGGTGATGGTGCGGCCAGTAGTGCTTTTCAGGGTGGCCCGGCTCAACCACAGCCGTGTTATCCTTGTTGACATCAACCGCGTGGTCATCCTTGCTTGCTTTGTTGACATTGGAGGAGAATGCGTTTGTAATAGGCAGCGAGGCGGAGTTTCCAGTATCAATGCCAGACTCGCCATTGATCAAAGTGGGTTCGTCATGATCACCGCGGGGGTGGTGGTGCGGGCGGTTGTGCTTTTCAGGATGTCCTGGCTTGACGATCGCCGTATCATCCTTGTTGGCATCGACCGCGTGGTCGTCCTTGCTTGCTTCGTTGACAGAGGACGAGAATCCGTTGGTAATCGGTAGGGAAGCAGAATTTCCAGTATCGATTCCTGACTCTCCCTTGATAAGGTCGTCACTGCCTCGAACCCCGTGGTGGTGGCCATGGCCTTCGGGGTGTACAGCGGTCTTGTCCACATTTACGTCCGCTGAGTGATCATCCGAGTAGGCCTCATTTACACCAGAGGTGAACACATTCGTGATCGGCAGTGTAGCCGAGTTTCCAGTGTCAATGCCTGATTCCCCCTTGATGAGGTCCTCGCTTCCTCGCACCGAGTGGTGGTGGTGATCCGGGTGCTTCGGGTGCTCCGGGTGCTCCACATCAACCACGTTCTTATCCTTGTTGACATCGGTAGAGTGGTCATCAGAATGAGCCTCGTTTACGGTGGAAGCAAATCCGTTCGTAAATGGCAGCGACGCAGAGTTGCCCGTGTCGATGCCTGACTCGCCACTGATCAAATCCTTGCCGTCTCTCACCCAGTGGTGGCCATGGTGGCCGTGGTGCTTATCCTCGTCGACAACCGTTTTGTCCTTGTTGATCTTAGACGAGTGGTCGTCGCTGTGCGCCTCATTGACAGTGGACGAGAAACCGTTCGTCACCGGCAACGATGCCGAGTTGCCCGTATCAATCCCACTTTCACCACTGATCAGGTCAGGCTCCGACCGCGCGTGGTGGTGTGGGTGGCCGTGGGCAGGGCCTTTCACAGCGCTCTCGTCCTTATCGATATGAACGGAATGGTCGCCTTCGTGGGACTCGTTCACCGTCTTCGACTTCACATTGGTGTGCGGGTCGTAGAAATGTTCGTTGCTATCTCCGCTGCCCTTCTGGTTGATTTCCTCCCTAGGCCAGTGGTGGCCGTGATGAGCATGCTCGTCCACAACCTTGTTCTTCGCGTCCACATCAACTGAATGATCGTCGGAATGCTCCTCATTCACGGTGGACGTAAAGCCATTGGTGATCGGGAGCGACGCCTCCTGGCCACCATCCACACCACTTTCTCCCGAGATCAGTGAAGCCTTGGCCATGGCAGCCAGCATGGCAATGGATATTCCACTTTGAAGTCCCTTCATTTTGCCGGAAGATTACAATTGTTATATCGATTTCGAAAGCGATAGAATACAGGGACGAATAGATCTTAATCAACGAATGACTTCGGCCAATAGGCCAGGGGAAGATCAGTTAGAAGGAACGTAACCAAAGACTGACCGAATAAAAGAAAGACCAGGCTTTGGCAGTTTGGATAACTCGTGGTTGCAGCATCATAGGACCCTGTTGCACCTTTTATTTTCGACCCCTTTGGAGGACATTTCCTTTGGTATGCTGTCGTCTTACCGCCAGTACAACAAACAAAGCCCTCCCCGGACATTGTTGACTGGAGAATGCCTTCAGGAATGGTTGAAGTCCGGTCCTGTGGCCCATGGGCAAAGCATCATCAGGCCCCGTCGTCGCAGGAGACACCATCCCATTGTGCCGTCCGCATTCCTTGGGACTGGATCGCGCGGAAAACAGGGGATTGGAATGCCTGGATCACGCAAAGTCCCAGATCGTCATAGGCTGCTTCACACGATGTCCCGTACCTAGCTGCCGTCCGGCTGATGAGGAAGGTTAGATTATTGTGATAGCCATTACGCCATCAACGCCTGCAGACAGCTCAGGGAAGGTGAATACTGGAAGCCAGCCAGTTCGGCTGTCAGTTTGGACGCCGCGTCGCGTGGCTTACTCCCCCTGTCCGCATGCCAGAACCTCGGCGGCAAGTCGCAAATTTTCTCCCTGCCTTTAATCGAAGGTTCAATTAATCGAAGTGTGGCGTCCAATTGGTTCTGAAATTCGACTAGTCGACTACTGATATTATTTCTTATGCAGGTATACGTTGTTGATTCAGCAATCAATTGCAAATTTTAAATTCAAATTCATTATTCATTGTTGTTAAGATGAGATGTATCCCGTCATCGACATTCACCCCTCATCGCCCTCACTGAAGAGGACCCAACGAGAGACAAACTTCCTATCAAGGAATATTACTCTCCAGAGCCGATCAGTCCGTAGACCGAAGGCAACACGTCGCCGTAGAGAAGGCTGGACGACGGTCGTGGCAGGCTCTGTGTAAGCTTTTCGATGTATGTAGAGAAAAGAAAAAGAAGAGGAAAGATCGTCGCCCGCGATCGCTTTTTGTAGTTCTTGTGCGTCACGTGAGCACTCCCGCTTAGCTTAGTGTCATCCACTCAGGCAGCCAGGCACCCGCCCCCAACAGGGTCAGGCACCAACTGCTTCCACCTCTCGCAAGATTGGAAGAGGTCTATCAAAGTCCATCCATTCAACGCCATACGTGTATCCACAGCCTGGAGCGTGTGTCATGGCGACTTATGTACAAGTTTTCCCTGCCGTTTCACTCACATGTACACAGAAGGACAACCCCATACCCTTTGCAACTCCTTTCCGACCCTTGATTATCATCCCTAGCCCATGACGCCTGTTTGCACCGCAGTTCCAGTTCGCCCGAATCACGCGTTGTGTATCTGGAGCAATCAGTGAGAGAGGCTTAAACCCCTACACACATGTTTGGCATGCCAAACCCACACCAGACTGACCACCAGCCATCAACCTATCTCCCAATCACCACCTGTTGGGTATCAGACTTCCACACAGCCCCTCCAACAGCAGCAGTAATCCCCAGCGCGATCGCAACCATGGTTCCAACTGTCACGACGGCAATCGTAGCCTTAACCGCCATGCGTTGCTTCCGACTCAGTCTCTGCATCCATCCGCAGCGTCGTTTCTTCTGAGCCCAGAGCTTCGACTCACGATGGCTTGTAGATTCCACTGGCTGTCGGTGAAGCGTCGGCGGGTCTTCGGGATCAAGGGGGCTGTATCTCGTCGTTGTCGCTTTGGCGGCCTTTTTCAGTCGGTCGATGGCTAGTGATGGTGTGGCATGGCGATAAAAAGGAGAGGATGGCTTTGCTCCATCAGCCGGGTTGAATTCCCCTTGTTGCAGTTCGGGAGTTGATGCGACGGACGCGGCTTCAGGGACTGTGGGGAGAGGAGTTGATCCAGATGCGGTGCGTCTCTCTTTCTGTATCAGCGGACGATCTGTCGACTGGCTGAGTGGACTCGTCATATTCATGCTGCTTAGGTAAAATGCGACTGTAGGGATGTAGTTACTCCGGACGCAAGTAGTGCTAAATCCGTGAAAGGATATCAGTCAACGAACACAAGACGGTAAGTGTTGATAACATAGGTGAGAGGGGTTTTAGGGGTATTGATATGGTTGAGGGGTTGCGGTGGTTGCGCCCCCTGGCTCAACACCTGGATGTTGGAAGGGGTTGGCCGATGGTGGCTTCCTTGGGGGTTGTACATCCACAGAATCAGGGGGGATTGTCCCACCTACATATGTACACCACAGTCTGCCCCTCTAGATATGATCAGACGTCTGGTAGATTCTTATCGACATGACAGTTCTCGTTATGAGAGGCTTGAGGTGAGGTTTGAAGAGGTATGGTAGTAGTCCCCAATTAGTGCAGATTGGCTGGATTGCTCGGGCAATGGAGGGATCTTAAGGTCTGGAACGTGGCCGCAGATGCAGGTCAACAACTGATTCACTGCTTCCAGAAATACATATACTTCAGGCGAAAAGTGTAACCTGCTCAGGTGAACTTGCTGGTGTAGGCGCGTGATACTAATGTATATATATAGTATGTATCCTGAAAGCTATAGATAGAATTTATTTCACAATCGCTTGATGTTCTTAGTAGTAGTAGCACGTATCAGTCGCAGTGGGACAATATTAATATGTAATTGCAAGTCATGCTAGGGAAGATATATATTTTTAGATGGACGGAGTTGCATCATCCATTCACCCCAGGAGTACTGAACTTGCAGCCATAGGAAGACTGTTAGACAAACTATTATCGCCGCTAAGTAGTACCAGTATTACAGAAGGAAGAAATCTAACACACTACAGCAATGCCTGAATCTTGATGCTCGCATCCATGATGTAAAATTAACATCAAGACGCCTTCATGCAGGAGGTTCTGACATCACATATAACGCTTGAGGTTTTTTTTTTTTTTTTTTTTTTTTTTTTTTTTTTTTTTTTTACCTTATGCAATTAATTATCTGCTAATTGATGTAAAGTTTATCTTACATGAATGAACAATCTACTTGCTCAAGCCCAGAATCCAAAAATCGTTTGTTCTACAAATCTCCTTGTCCAACGTTGATACAGGCTAGTAGAGGACTACGCCAAGGCACAACTGCCAGCCCTTCCAACTTACAGGATAACAATACCCGGAAGAGCTCTGATCCAAATAGACCGCCCCTCATTCACATCGCTCTTATGTCGCACAAGCCCAGAAACACTGAATCCCATTGTCACCTGGGATCTAGGCCCTGTTGCCCAGGTTATCAGTACATTTCTTACCAGGAATGGAATGAGTAACCAAGAATGGACGCCAGACAGGGATGAATGATCAAGGCCACTATGGAAAATAGGGGTCTCGTGTATTGAATCGGAGGTCCCGCGGATGACCCTGGATGCTTTCATCCCTTCGCCCCTGTCCTCCCTTTCTTGGCCTTATGGGCTCGCTCACTATGAGGTATTATGCCCAAAGGCATGCCAGTTACCTAATGGACTGGGCAATCTAAGGAAATTACCTATGAGGGCTCCGCTTTTTGGCTCGAGGCCTTGATTTCAGACATTGTAGAAAGAAGTATTACGGAGGATGAGCGGTTGATGAGTCTGATCTTCTGGGTTACCAGAATCGGTACGGCTGATGTTCTTGATGGGCAAACGGATACAGCACACTTTTGGACGTACCTCTTACAGTCAGCCAAAATTGAGATCCAATAATCAGAGAGCTCCTGCTTCCATACCATTTCCATGTTATGATGAAAGCCATAGTCTCGACGTAGCTCTTCGTTCGTGGAGATAACTGTCCTCTTACCTAGGTTTCAATGTTGAAACCAATTGATAAGCGCGTGTTTAGGATACTAGTAGTAGACATGCATTTACTGACTACTTTGGCTTCTATCCAAACCGAACGAGGGGATTTATGCTCGAGATTGTGCATGTTATGGTAAGCAGTCTCTGTGCTGGCGGTGGATCACGTGATTATCATGCTACATCTTATGCCATCTGTAAGCTGAACGAAAGGAAATCATCAGTATTAGCCGCTTTATATATATTAAATGTTCGAACGCTACAGGCGGAAGAAACGAAAGCAAAGAATACAATAAAAGTATGTTATATTACTATCTAGGAACGCGCAGCGCAACCAGCACGAAGAGGCGCTTGGTAGGCAGTCTAAGCACAGTCATATAATTAAGTTTATAGAATTACTATCTCAACACGGTCTCCTAGGCGAGGAAGTATATAAGAAGATATTATTTAAAACCATACTTTCTTTCTAAATAGATAATTTTATATATATTAAATCTAGTTTCTAGAATACTGAGGGGGGGTAGCTAATAGAATTATTTTTAAAAAATTATAAAAAATATAAAACTTCTTCTAATCTAGTAGTTTAATAAGACTGTTTACAAAATTGTAAATATCTACAATGTATTAGATTAATATAATATCTGATTTAATAAAATCTATCACGAATAAGTAGCGGTTATTTAGTCATCTGGTAGATCAGATATAAATACTATAATTAAGAATTTATAATAAATTAGTAATATTATTAATTAAGAATATTTTATTATTATCTAATATTTTAAAATAAAATATCTGTGCTAATTTTTTAATATATAAGGCATCTTTGGCGGCGGCATCAAACGCGTAGTATTTTATAATAATAAAAAAGAATATAATAATACTTTATTTATTAAAAAATCAGATAATAAGATCTTCTATATAAAAAATAATATAATTCTTAATAGACTTATTATCTTTGTAATTCACCTTTAGGGGCCGCCGCTTCCGGAAACGGCGTCGCCCGATGCGGTTATGCCGCTTCTCACCGCCAAACCTCTTGCCGCTATATCAGCCCTGGCCTGCCCGCTGGCGTAACCGTCACGTTATGTTTTCTTCCTCAATCTTACCACCGTCGCAACCCTTCGCCAAGGCGTCCTCAGCCATCCTCCTCAGCCATCCTCAGCCGGGTTGCTGTGTGATTTCCGCAGACCGGTGCCACCCGACCGGAGGATTCGCCTCCTAGCCTGAGCCCATCGGCATTTGTCCGTACCTGCGTACCCTTATTGGTATGCCTACACTAATGCGATGACGTCCCTGGGTTTGACTACTTGTTCAGAATACCTATTATATACCGTATGTCATACATGTGCTCCATTACCACAAGCCATTCCCGCCGTCTTTCAGCGTGCTTCGCTGAGCTTGTCCTCACAGTTATCTGAGACTGCGCCGCTTTCTTTATACGCGTCGTTCCAGTCTTGTCCGCATTCCAGATCCCATTACCGACCACATCTCCCCCCTGGGCGAGATGCGTGGTCGATGCCGTCTGTGGATTTTAGTTTGATTGGCTTGCATTCGCTGGTGTCCGGCTGAGACAGGGGCTGGTTTGCCACCTCATCCCAGAAGACCGTCGAGTGCACGCGGATGTCAGACATTCCGCAGCATAAGAACCCGCTCTAATTTTGTTCTCTCGGCGTGACACATTATATGCTGGGTTGGACTTCACGTCCTGATGTGGTTTTTGCTGTATGCAGTCATCGGGGCGCCGAAATGTGGGACCTCTGTCTGGCCATATCCAGCAGTAGAGGATCTGCTTTTACCACTTTTGGCATGAGCCCTATGCGGTGATGCAACCATCGCCGGATTAGGCTCTGTTTTCCCTAATAAGGCGATTTAAGCCATTGTATGGTACTCTGGCCTCCCGACGGTCAATGGATCCGACTTGCATATACGCGCTTCCGGCAGCAGCCGTTTATGGCGATTTTGCCTCCCATTCATAAGGGTCTCGGCTACTCCAGCTTCAGAATGCATATTTCCGTCGGGCAATTCCAAATACCCCAGTTACGGGGCGTTAACCAATTGTGGAGTCCAGCATCGGCAACAGAATCTATCGCACTCCATTCGGGGAACTGCAGAACGCCGAATCAGGCGTCGCTATCATGGTAAGGCTAAATTGGAAGGGGTGCGAACCGGCCTTTTCAGCAGATCCGACTCAGCAATGTCGGAATGGGTCCAGGAAGTGTTTGACACATACAAAAAGTGCGAAGGGCCTTCGCTTTTCTATCGGTGTCTGTGATTTGGTTTTTATTTTCCGTCTACTTAAGAGACAATATGAGCGCCTTCCTATTCTATAGACCCAACTCGAACCCCAATCGATACTCCAGAAGAGAGCGATTTAGCCCGCGATGTACCAAGTCTACTCCCAGCGCTCATACAATTATACCTCAGCCGTCCATCAAAGTAACGGCCAGCCCTGTTATGGAACCGTACAACCTTTCCGACAGGAACAACCTCGATCTATGCTGTAGAGATAACGGTATGTCAACATGCCTAGACATTCAATGCAACGCGCTGATCGCTCATCCAGCTCATTGCCCGCAGGTCCAGCCTACCAACGATAGTTGCAGCGCGACATCTGATAAGGACCGCACTTCATTTCATGGCCCATTTCCTGGGCCACAAATAGGTCGCGAGCTTGTTGGGACAGCAATGGCTGACAACGGTCACGACGATGCTGCTTCCATCTCGAATCAGTCAACTATCGAACGAAACACTTCAGGGCGCAACTCCCTGGATGAACCAGCATTGGCTCCAGCATCCGTGGATAGAGACATTGATCACGTGTCATTTTGTCAACAGTCTCGAGAAGCCCCCCCAACCCCCGAACGGCAGTGCTTCTCCCCTTCTTCAGACCAGGCGCATGCGCGACACACTTTAGAAGGTATTTCTAAGAACAATGACTTCCAGCCTGGAATACCGCTTACCCTAGCGGAGTTCGCGCCTCCAAACGCCGTCAACCGATCGTCACTGGAAGATTGGGGCTTCCATGATGAAACTCTACAATGCAGAAATAGCCTACATCAAGATCGTTTTATGCTTGAGGGTAAGTTGTGGACCATTAAGCTAGTAGTAGACTTGTGACTTTATCTGTTTCCTGCCACATTTCCAATTCTGACTATAGTATTAGCGGATAATTTCCACCTCCACGACATCACTGCTTCTGACTTCCATTCTCCGAGAAGTGACCGGCACGGATCAGAACTATTCCCCTTACATGAGAGTCCCGGCTTAACCGATGCACCTTTTCTAAATGATCAGGGCCATGGTATTGATGACGAATATTTAGATCCCAGCCCGCATCGACCGGTAACGCCGGTCAGGTCTATGTCCGAAGTATCTGATAAGGATCATTGCACTGCCACTGACGATGATGAAGACGTTCTTGATCCATTGGATGACACTCATGAGGACTATACTACATCGGCTGATGCACAATCACTCCCGAGCCCTGGAAGATATGGGGAACGTGCTTTTGGCGGGAGGCGTGACGAAGGATCATCCAAACTCAGTCCTAATGCAGAGTCGCATTTCTCACACAAGACGAAGGGTATAGACCCTGCGATTGATACCGCCAGGGAAGGCGATCGCCCAATATCCATGTCTAAATCCCCAACTTCGACCGAGTCGGAGAAGAAATATGTGGAATTTTCACACGTTGAGATATCGACCACTTCACCACGAACACTGCAACCTCGTATTCCATTTACCAAAGGGCATGTTGTTGACCAGACATGTTGCCATGCCCCACTGAGCCGAGGGCCGTGGCGCTTAGATGGGAATATACTGTCCATCGACATCAGAGAAGCCCAACGTATTCCCATTCGTGCTGGGACTTCTACAGTTCGAGTGCTAGATGGCCAGCTGTTTCAGACTATAACAATGAGCCTTGGGGCGGTTGATACAACATCCAAGCCGGCAAATTTTCCCAGAGTCACCAGGAAGAGGGGTGTCTCTGCAGCTAGAGGCCGACTTACCTCTGAGAGAAAACGATATCTCGTACGGTTGAGAGATACGGGATACTCGTGGAACCAAATAAGCGCCAAATTTCCTGGCAGAAAGAAGGAAAACCTCCAGGCAGCTTATTATAGAGAACTAAAGGGCTTGCAAACTCAGGTCTCCCAACCTTTGGAGCGCACTTCCAGCTCACATACTAGATCGAAGGGATCAGGCAATTCCGAGAGTCCAAAACCATGTCAGGTGAAGAGGACAAGATGTTCACGCTACAATCTCCGACGTAGGAGCGATCGTTGAGTTCAAACAGGCTACTAAAACAAATTGGAGAGCAGCCTTCCCTTTCATATTTTGGATTACACGAACTTTGCCACTACATGGAAGAAGCGTTCCTTACGCTCTATGAACTTCAAACGAACGACGCGATACTGATATTCTTCGGGAAGTGGCTGTAGCTGATTTCTGGCACAACCTCAACTTTAGTCCCTCATTGCACATTGTTTTATATTAGTCAGCTCCCCATAAGTAACGTAATCAACGATCGGACGGGCCACACGGTCAGGCGGGCCATCCTGAGATCCCATATAAAAGATATCTTTTTAATTCTAATATATAACAACCAATACTATTTCTAAGAAGCTCTAACTTCGTAGATAGATTATATATATACAAGAATAAATATTCCCTCAATTTTTTAAGATTTTTAAAATTTTTACTTTTATACTTAACTCAAATTCTTATATAATACATATATAATACAGGTATTGTAATATAATAAGTCTATAGATAAACTTATATTTATTTTTGGAAGGCATATAGATATTTCTTATATTATTTAGACTCTATATAGAAGAAATGTAATTCTTCTAGACCTGGGTGGTAGAAATATGTGTTCAAAAAGATATCTTTTGTATAGTATTACCAGATGGCCCGTCCGACCGTTGATTACGTTAGTTTGTTAACGTAATCAACGGGCCAGCGACAAATGGTGGGGAGCGACGAGCCTGTATTCCCGTATGTATACATATATATATCGCAGTACACACATATATCCGTCCGTAGATGAAGTAGTTCGTCCCACAGACGTCAGTTGTTTGACTCGAAAAACTCGCCCCAGTGTGACCGTGCGCGGCGTTCTCGGGCGATCAAGGGATGTATGTCGTTGCGAAGGTCATCTGCGATCACGGATACAGACTCTGGCTCCTCGAAGTCGTTGGAATAGTAAAGATCCAGCAGCTTGCTCGACGTCTCGAGGACGAGATCCTGACAGGTGTTCAGGAGGGTATAGCATGTACAATAGTAGGCATTTTGACCCTGCTGGCGGCCAATCCGACGGACAGACTCGACAATCGCTTCCATTGGTAGGTATTGGGGAGCGGCCCAGAGAAATGATGAAGTGGAATCTCAGTGTTGTGCTGGTCGATCTCCCAAACGTGCATTTAACCCGAAGGATACTCCGTACCGTACATCGCCGCAGTTGGACCGACCATTCGTTCCAGCGTTTGTCCCCAGATACCGATCTGTGCCATAGAAACATGCGGACGTGATATTTCTGCTGCCGTGATTAAATCGCGGATTATGTCTCCATCCTAATTTCATCACAAGACAACGGACTCGCTCACTAACTTGAGGTGAGACGGCCGAGACAGGACGCCCTCCCTGATATTGGGCGACCACCTTGATTTGTACTGCAAGCCGTTGCATCGACAGCACGGGCTACAATGCAGTATAAGTTTTCCGAGTCCGACGAAGAATCATAAAAATGTCGACCGATGGCCGCTATGAACCGCCGTACCCCTCCCCCCTCCGCTCGCTTCTATCCTGCCTCCTACCACCCCTCTGCCGCGGTTGTACTGTGCTTACTCGCAAAATGAATACTACTGTACTGTAAGGTCAAGAAGTAAAGTATCAATTTTACAAAACGTGTCCATGAGTGCCGAGAAGATTGATATTATCACCTAACCGTATGCAGACTAGTGTAATAACAATAGGATTGAAAAAGAATCTGGAGGCTCTGGAAGGCATGGTAATTGTGCAAGATACTGTAAAATGATGTCCACACGCCTACCAGCAAGCGGTGTTCTGATCAAGTGCTACCTGATAGAACCTTCGGCTTTCTAGTACAGAGCACGAAAAGATGACGAACTTTCTTTCTGTATTGTAGTATTAGAGCTCTTTTCCATTCTCAATTCAGCTGTGAAAGATCATCTTCAGTAACGATGAAATGAATGTGATCTATGTCTTCAGCATGCGTGGAAACCCTCATCAGGTAATGAGAAGGTACAGAGAATCTGAAGACATGTGGTACATGTACAATATCGCGTGTTTGCTTCATCAACTCCCACCAGTTGCGACCGTAGCCCTTGAACCCTGTTACCTCGCTTGCGAAACTCCTGCCACTAAAATCCTCGTTGAATGACACACCCCTGACTCCATTCCTCCAGCCGTGGTAGCGGTACCTTTTCCAGACATCACCAGCCACATTATGGTTTTTTTCCAGCTTGCAGGACACTTCATTCTCTATCTTATCCATCCCAGGGGGGTCGGGGCCATTTGAATCGAGATCAAGCAGCGATATGGAGTACTGCAGAGATTCATGGTCTAATGTATCCATATTGAAAGCAGCAAGGATGTCAAAAGGCGACAAGTATGGCTGAAGGCGTGACAAGAGAGTCATCCAATTCCAGAGTAGTGTATCATCATGATCCAATATCAAGGCATCGTCTGTGCGTGACGATACTGCCCAATCCAAGAGAGTGTTGGGGTCTTGGAGAATATGTAGAAGCATGAAGTTGGATACAAAATCAAAAACTTCCAGGACCTGAACCGATTCTTCCAGGGTGCGAGTCGGGTTATCAGACCACATAGACAGAACGTTTGTATAAAGCTTATCAGAGCTTTTCGACGATCGGCACAAGGTAGCAAATTGTAGCATTTTGGTATCCAGAAAGCGGGCCATGACTGCCCGATAGAATTCTCCTTTGGCAACAACAGGAACTGGCCGGCCTGAAACCTGTCTGTCTAATTTACCTGTAATCACACATTTCTGATCGGAATGCAGCGCCAGGGCGTATTTCAGCTCTTGCTCTCTTGTCATAGATTCCAGATCGACAAATGACAGGACGGAACGGTAGTCTTCGAAATGTTCCAGATATGTTAGTCGAAGCCAGCTTGTCTGTTGCCACCAGCTAAGTACCTAAGATGCCGATCTGTCACTTGCTTGCTGGTGGCTTGAGGTTGGTCGTCGAGGTCAACTTCAGAGTAATTTCCCAACATCCAAGCATCAATCTGTTGAAGTGGTTCTGTTGGGAGTCTGCATGCTGAGCTCCCTTCAGCCCCATACATCCTATCATGCAATAGACACAGAGAATGATCATATTTGTGGTAGTCGGATTTCCGCTATTTGGGATCAGCATCAGAATAAAAGGTGCGAGGCTGGAGATGGTACAATTATGGACCAAAGTATAGTAGCTTTGTATCGATTGTAGACCGTGTGTAGGGCTTTACACGTTTACGCAAGACATGCAACATCGTCCAGACAATGTAGAAGCTTGAATACCATTAATAGGAGCTCCGTCGGGAGCAATGGGAAACTGGCCATCCCAAACTGCGCAGCGCTCAACTAGTTGGATGGAGACTAATTGGGTATCTACTCCTACTCAACGGGAGATCTTGGGTTGCTGAGCGGGGAAGAATGATCTTCCGTACCGTTGCCCGACCCGCCGTACGTAGGGATCGGGAAAGAATCTGGAGACTCTGGGGTAGCGCCTGAAGCGCACCTTGGTACGGTTCACTTCTCTCGTGGCATGTATCTGCATGATGGAGTGTGACATTTGCAACCGCATACCAGTTATGAAAAGGTAACAAGTGTCCATGGCAAGGCATTAATACTATTGTTACTGTAGTTTAGCGGCCGATCTGTGGATGTTTTTCATACATGTTGAAGATATTTCTTCATCGTACCTCATCTATTACTAGACCCGCATGCTTGAAATGGACTCTGGCACTATTCTCTCGAGCTCCCACTGTATCTGCGCACTGTGCGAGATAATTTTCAAGGCCTTGACTAGGGTCTTCCTCGTAGAGGTACCAATATCGCCTTATAAAGGCCTTCAGCTCGGCAAAGGACCCTTCAATTGGGTTCAGATCAGGCGAGTACGGCGGTAGGAATAATAATTTGACCCCCTTCTCGCAGCATAACTGCTCTACTTACTCGGAATGATGAAATGCAGCATTATCCATTACAAGCACGGACCTTTCCTCTGGGTACTTCCTACAGTACCGAAGGAGATCTTCAATGAACTCCTCAAAGACAACTGCGTCTGTTGTGCGTTTGAAGATGTGGAACAAGACAATACCATCTTAGGAGTATGCAGGGAGAATTTGGTAATGTTAATCGCGATGAAACTAGGTACTTGAACTGGTGCAATACTACTAGGGGCCCAGCCCATGCGTCTGAATCCTATCCGCCTGTCACATCCAGATTCATTAATAAACACCAGTTGGTATGTCTTAAATTCAGATATGTCATGGATATATTCATTGCATAGATCAGAATTCTGCTCTTTTGCTTTCTGTTAAACTGTTTTTTTGGACTAACCAACCAAGGAAAGCGCCCTGCTTATGCTGCTGGTTGCTATTTACAGGCCAAATTTATTCCAGAGGAACATTGCCATCTCGTCTATGTATAAGTCAGGCTTTTCGAGAAGATATTCGCATAGTTCTTCCAGCATGATTGGTGTGATTAATCTTGCTCTTCCAACACGAGTTTGCGGCGCTCTAGACCCGCAGGTTGGAGCGGATATATTTAACCGCCTGCTTACTGCATTCGGCAGCTTTAGCGGTTTTCAAAATAGACGTGCCGCAATTCGTCATAGAGCAAATAAGCTGGATCTTCGATGGTGATAGGTGTAGTACTATTGTTGTGCTATCTTTAGCAGTATAGCAACTTGACAGTCTGTTTAAAAAGAAAGTCGAAAAGCAACAGTGAGATGCCCCTGTTGTAGCATTGCCTGGACACAGAAGCTTCTAGATTGTAGTATCTCTCTTACATGTACTACTGGAAGATTAATAAGTAAGGTCATTAAAGTATAAAACATGTCCATCACTGGCAAGAGCACTATTGTGCCCGGCTGACTGTATAGAGACTAGTGTAGAAAGGCTAGGGTTTGGGAAAGAATATGGAGACTCTGGGGTAGGCATGGTAATTGTGCAAGATCCTGTACAAATGGTACTCTCTATTAATCTCTGTGCTTCCACGATTACACATTTTAGACATGCCGTTAAGTGCCATCATATGCATTACATGTCATTACAGTACACTAGTATATCCCCACAAACCATCCTTTTGAAGTAGTTCCAAGTTAGGCCTAGCGTGGCTACACGTGGGGTCGCAGAAACAATCGTGCAACTGGTGACACCAGTATCCGAAGCCTTGTAAGTTCTAGAAAAAACCACCGGAGTGGCAGGGATCAGTAGAGCGGGAGAAGGAATACTGTAAGAAAAGAGGGTTGATACCAAATCGACCGTCGTCAATTGAAATCGCGGTTGTGTTGTGTGTGGCGAGCGGAAACTAATCGCGGCCTGATGGCGGTTCCGCCTGCGGGTGATCCCGAGAACAACCTCGAGGACTCCGGAAAACTCTACAGGTGACAGGGATGAAGCTGGCCTCCTACTAGGAGAAAGGGATGAGCAACGCGGGCATAAACTAAAATTGTGACCATCCCGGCAGTCAACTTCCTGTCCTTTGGGGATTGAAAAACAACAATTATAATTAAAGTAGTGGGAACTGTGATCAACAATTTGAAGGATATCAACCAGTGCTAAAGCATGATCATTGAATTGATATAACAAGAGCTACAGCAAATTCGGAATGAACAGCAAAGTCTCTAAAACCAGAATATACAGCTAATTAAGGAAGTCCACGATCTGTAAGTATGGTTTGACACCTGGGCAGCCTCTTCTCAGCCCAGAACATGGGCCGCGGTCGCAGCTGAAGTGGCAGGCGGAGAGGCTGAACAGAGAATGCCCCGGACTCTGAAAGGAACTGAACTGTATTTGGATCAGCACAGCACGCCCGACAAAAGACGCAGATAACGGAGACAATGTGCTAATCACGAGGTATTTGCCTACTGATATTGCTAATACGCGTATCCGCGCAGCTCTGTTGCATGCGGAAGCTATCAAGGACACTGAGGTTGCGGGAATAGGGACCACCAAAACAGGCTATGTCATTTGGTTCAAAGATGAATAGTTGGCAGCCACAGCCTGAAACAACCCCAAGTGGCTGGGAGAGCTAGGCAATGAGACAAATTTTGTAAACTTGCTTTGGAGTGGTATTACACCGTATCCCGACTGGGGACTTCGATGTGGACTGAAAAAAGGAGATAGCATTGAAAAGATCATATAGGAAAATGACCTAGCGGGAAAAGGATACCAGATTGAAGATATTGCGTGGTTGAAGAGGAAAGAAATTCCTGTAGGGCGCTCCGCAATGATGGGAATCTAGCTAAATATCCTGGAAGCCGCTGAGATTATTCTTAATAATGGGCTTCTGGCGGGACAGAGACACATCGGGAGTGTGGAACCATATCGGGTGGAATGAAAGAGGTGCCGTCGCTGTCAACAATTTGGCTATCTCGCCTGGTTATGTACGGAGCGGGTCCGCTGCGGACACTGCGCCGGACCCTATGATTAATGTTACTGTTTTCCCGGGGTAAGACCCCGGTGCTCAGACTGCAATGAGGAACATCCCACTGGAGATTGGAGGTGTCAGAAGCTCCTTGATTCCCGGTTCTCTAAGTGACCTTGCACAATATCCGTATTCTACAGTTGAATATCATGAAATCTAGGGCAGGAATGGAAGCCCTCATAAATGACCACTAAATGACAAATCTTGATCTCTTAATCTAGGAATCTCTAATCTCCGCGTACCGTATCCACGTTAATTACAGTGTATGGCGGCTCTACCGCCCTACTTATACTGAGGAAGCTACGCAGATCCGCAGTCTGCTTTATGTTAATAAATGGATGTTAATATTATTACATCGACAGATTCACTGCAATCACCCTGAACTGGTCGCGGTCAAAATCTGGATAACAAATATCCAATATCTCGTCTTCTTGATCTATATCCCGTTTACCACGCTTCTTTAACTAATCTATAAATCTAGTGCCTAGCAACTACTATGCCTAGCAACTACTAGACACAATCTAAATGATTATTGAGGAACATTCAAATAGCACAAACAGAATAATGAAACTGATTCTGGCTGGGGATTCTAATTACTAATATCTGGTATAGAATTACCAGCCGATTACTCCCAGCCTTATTAAACATGCCGATGAGCTCATTAATTTCTTTCAGATATATTGATTCTAATAGTACTTACCACGGGATATACTGATATACTGGGCTCTACACAACCCAGGATAATTATCCATGATAGATCTCACTGTGACTGATGACTCCGCGAGACTGATCCAATGCTAACTATATCATGATAATTACGGGTCTGACTACCGTGGAATTCTCTCAGAAGGGATCTACAGCCTAGGTGAAATAGAGTATTAAATTCAAAGAGAGTATACGACCGGGAAAAATGGGATAAGATTGGTCAGGATATTCAGGTCCAGATAATCATCTTATCTACTATTTTATTTAGTACAGTTACAACAGCTGACTGGACTAAGCGGTGGAGAAGCTGATTAGCTTTACTGTTACTACTTTTGATTGATATATTCCAAGGCACCAACCATCGCTATATTTTAAATGGCGGTTTACCCCTGTACTCAAAGTCTAACAGGTTAGAGTTAACCAAGCTTGCTGAAAATGGCAGAGTAGCTGTGTAGACCTGGGACTGTGATATCCCAGTTCTAAGGCTCTCTTTGCAGA